TGTAGCTTAAAGATGACAAATTCTAATGTTTCTCAAACATGCTAACCTTAAAATGCATGGACTTCAACTCCCAGAATTCCCCAGCCCATTCATACATTTTAAAGTTCACAGGTTTGAGAAACACTGTTCAACTAACTTTTCTGCCATGTCTCAAGCTACTCCTTACTTACATCTCTGTCATGAAGCACATACTTGATTCCAGAACAGAGTCAGTGGTATTCATTTCACGCACAAAAGCTTCAAAAAGTACCTCCCACTTTTTGCTTCCCATAACTCTGTAGAAATGATTGCTATAGTTTCAATTCAATAGGTCCAAAATCTTTAAATTCTGTTATAGTGGCTAGTTCTGTGTTTGTCCATTTTTGCTACTGTGGTCTTTAGATGGGCAGAAACTGCAGCTCCCAATATTTCTAGCCTGTAGGTGTCAAGTTCACCAATCTAAATTGGCTTATTTTTCAGTATTCCTACCAGTTCAGTCCCACATTCACATCTATTGAATGAACTTGAGTTAATATAAGGAAACAAACAGTTTTTGCTACTTTCTGCCACCCAAGGGAAATATATTTTTTTTTTATAAAAAAATTAACATATCCTTTCCTTTCTCCCTCCAAGCCCCTGATTCATTAATATTTTTTTCTTTTACTAAAAACACAGACTCTACTATCTAAAACCACTTTTTCCTTGTTCCAAGTGGCACTGGTGTGGATCCATACACAGCAGGCTTGAAGCTTGCTCTAAACAAGCAGTTGCAATAACCGTTTCTTGCAGGAAAAAAAGCATAGTTGTTTTGTTTCCTTTTTCAATTTAATCCTGAGTGTATGAAGGAATCTTTAATTTGAATTATAAATAGGTTGCAGGACTCCAGTGATGTCATCAGAACAAGCAGGCTGTCTAATCTTTGCATTGTCTGTTGGCTGGCTTCCAAGGTTGATAAAATTTCCAAGTCAAAAGCTTTTTGCCTGTTTTCACCCTCAAATTTACAGAGGGGAAATGAATGGAATATGTACTGTTTATTTTCAAGCTAAACGGGATGGGGAGATATTTATATGTTCTGTTTTGCAGTAGATCTGTCTGTCATTCTTCCTCTGTGGATTTTTAAAGATTGTTTTGTAGGTATCTCTGTATAGAATGTAATACCTTTTGGAAATAATTTCCAGGGGGGTGGGGAAATCATGTTGCAAGTAGATCATTAAGAAGCTGTACATTTTGTTTTAGAACATGAATGTACCCTATTTAAGAGATGGGTTTTCAAGTTGGATTTTTAACCTTGTTTTATAAAGCTATTTTTTTCATTTAAAATCTGTGGCTCTTTGATTCTTTCGTCTCACAGTACCTAAAAACCCTGTTCATGCTACTTCAGAAGTCAAAAGGTAGAGGAACCATCTTATTACATGGACATGATCTCCACAGTATGGTGGCTGAATATAATTTTAGTTCTTCCTACAGCTAAGCATTGGTGACAACCAGGATTCCCAGTCATCTGGGGGAGTTTAATCTGGTTCAGCAGAATATGATATCCATCTTCCTTTAACCTTTCTTACCTTATAAAAATCCCTCCAGTTTTAAGGTTGACAATGCTTTTATAGATATAAAACAATGTTTCTCAACTTAGACAACTTCCAGGTAGATATACTTCAAGCATTTCTAGCAACAGTAATGCGGGATGGGAAATTCCAGAAGGTGAATTTCATATATTTGTGATTTGCCCTGTTTGGAAAACGCTGATCTAAACATATGAACAAATGATGCTACATTATACTGACTATGTTCATATTCATGGTTCATATTCATAGACTATGTTGGTTAATGGATTCATAGTTGGTTGACTTAATGGATTAATAGTTGGTTGACTTATTACAACTGTTTGGATTTGGCGTTTTATCAGGTTCGCCTGATTTACCAGTTGCGTCCTTTTCTGGACCGGGACGCTCTGCGCACAGTCACTCATGCTCTCGTCACCTCCCGCCTGGACTACTGTAATGCTCTATACATGGGGCTCCCTGTGAGGAGCATCCGGAGGCTTCAACTGGTCCAGAATGCGGCCGCGC